CGATTAGATTCGCGTTGTTGCCGGCGAGGATGCTGTAGACAAGATTGTCCGTCACATCAGCGTCCACTGCTGGTATCCGGCCAATTGGTATAGTTGGGAAGAAGTCCTTGAAATTATTGAAAATTATTTGAAAGTCCTTAAGCACCGGCGCGTTGTCGTTCACATCAGTTACTAGGATCTGCACCACCGCGTCCGAACGCAGGGGCGGTGACGCGGCTCGCACCACGAGTTCAAATTTCTTCTTCGGCGATTCGTAATCAAGTTCTTCGAGGGTGATTAATTCGGCGCGATCGGCGCCTTGGCGAACATTCAAACTGAAGCTGTTGGAATCCTCACCGCCGATGATACTGTACTGCACCACTGCGTTAGGACCTTCGTCTGGATCGTGGGCGTAGATTTCACCGACGGTTGAGCCAATCGGGGAATTCTCAGCGATGTAAAGAATGATCTTATCGTTTTCAAAGGCGGGTGGCGAGTCGTTGATGTCCTCAATCTTGATAGTAACAGGAACGACGGACGAAAGTGCGGGCGAACCGCGGTCTGTGGCAACGGCCTTTAAAGTATAATATGCCACCGATTCTCGGTCCAATATTTTCGCGGTCCTGATAATGCCTGTCGTAGAGTCAATCGTGAACGCTCCGTCGCCGTCATCCTCTAAACCGTACTTTACCTGGATCAGTCATATTGAATTCATTAGAAAGTTGTGGAAAGAATTTTAAAAGTTGTATGAAAACTTTTTACTATTTATTATGCTTATATTTATAATTGTCGTTTAAAAAAATTGATAAAAATAGTTTTTATCGATCAAAGATACTAACTTAATAATTTATTGATTATATTACAAATTCAAGATTTCTATGAATTATTAAAATTTGTATTTACTTATATAAGCAAACCAATTAGTATGCTATATTTCTTATTTAAATTATATCATAGCATCATTTTTTATCGAAGAGAACTACACTTACCCGGCCATTGAGATCGGTATCCGCATCGGTCGCCGCGACTCTCAGCACGCTAGTGCTTAGCAAAACATCTTCGAGAATCGAACCGTGATAATGTGGCGCTTCGAAGACCGGCGCGTTGTCATTTACGTCTGTGACGGAGATCTCCACATCGGTAGTATCCGACAGCGATGGCACTCCACCGTCCCGGGCGGTCACTGTCAACAGGTACGAGGGTACCGACTCGCGATCGAGCGCTTTTGTCGTCGTAATCGCTCCAGTTTGTGGATTGATGGTGAACTCGGTGATCACCTGTTCGCCATTGTCAGTCGCTAGGCTGTATGTAATCTGGGCGTTCTTGCCGACGTCGGCATCAGTAGCACTCACCACCAGGACTGTCACGCCAATCGGCGCGTCCTCGAACACCGAGACTGAGTAAGGTGCGTTTTCGAATTCTGGAGAATAATTGTTGGCGTCCGACACGTTGACATAAACCAAGGCGGTATCAGTGCGGCTGCCGGTATCCGACGCAGTCACTGTCAACACAAACCGCTTCTCCTGCTTATAATCGAGCGTCTGGGCGATAGTTATAAGGCCACGTCCGTTTTGCGAAGAGATAGAGAAACGTCCGCGCGTGTTACCGCCCGTGATTTCGTAATGGATCCTGGAATCCTCATCCGGATCGGTGGCGGTCACTGTGGTGACCGGCGTGCCCGCCAGACTATCTTCGGACACTACAGCCTCGTAGGTTTTTGGCTCGAAGTAAGGATCATTGTCGTTCACATCGGTCACTGTGAGAAATACCGTCGCGCTCGCGGATTTTGGTTCCTCTCCAGAATCCGCCGCAATTACGGTGAATTGGTATCTAAAATCAAAACGAGAATCTCTTGTTAAAGGATTTGCTAAAGAATCTAAAATAAGTTTTTTTTTAAGTAAAATTTTATGTAGTGAATGGAAGAGAGAGATTATTTTATATATTTTTCTTCAAACATTATTTTTAAATATTTCGTACAATTTTTATCCGCGTTGATTTATATTTCAATTATTCCAACTTCGATTAAATGACGGTTTAAAAATCGATAAAAAAGATTAATATACTTTGAGCATTGTTCACGATCTAATTGCTTCGTCGTGTAGATCCAACCAGTTTCTGCTTTCACGGTGATGGGGAAGTTCTCTGTGGAGGCGCCGGTGAAATCACGCGCACCGATAGTATACTTGATGAGTGCGTTGTTACCCTCGTCGGCATCGTATGCTTGTACCCTCAGGATCGAATATCCCACTGGTACGCTTTCCGACACTGCTTCTTGGAAATGACTGGTATAGAATCTTGGCGCGTTGTCATTTACATCCCTAACCATCACGAGCAGCTGGGTAGTGTTAGAACGCGCGGGCGAGCCACCGTCCTGAGCGCGTATGACGATCTTGTAGCTCCTGGTGGACTCGTAGTCGAGTGGCTTAACTAGGGCTACGTCGCCACTCATTGAATCGATCGAAAAGGTATTCTGTGTGTTGCCGCCGATGATAGCGTAGCGGACAGCAGCGTTGGCGCCAGCATCCGCGTCCATCGCCCTGATACGGGCTATCACTGGATTGGTCGTGTAGTCCAAGTCCTCTGGCACGGTCGCCGAATATGTGCGCTCGGTAAACTGCGGATAGTTGTCGTTGTCGTCCAGCACACGTACCACTAGGGTCGCGTTTGAACTACGTCGCGTCGAAGGTGGTGTCGCTTGATCCGTAACGCTGAGCACTACCGTGTAAATCTCGGTTTGCTCGCGATCGAGAGGAGTTCGCGTGGTGACTACGCCGGATCTGTGAGATATACAAAGATTTATATTGTGAATATAAAAATCATGCAAAATTATATTTCATTGAGTTGATCATATAAAAGATTTTATCATAGGATCTTCTGAAGAAGAAAAACTAAGTTAAGAAGAAACAAAGAAAGAAAGAAAATAAAAATTAGATTCTACATAATTTATTCGTGTCATTGATAGTACTAAAATATAGAGAAGATAATCTATAATTCATATAATAGAAAAAGATTGGAATCTTCTTTATTCATGAATATAAAAAAGAACTTCCTAAACGAAATATTAAGATAATGAGTTTCGGATGTCAAAAAATCAAGCTTTCTTCAAATATGCCGGAATACATGATATTTGTAGTACTAACCTTGGATCGATTCTGAAAGTCGCTGCATCCTCCATATGCGTGATGCTACTCCCTGCCGTGATAGAGACGATAGAATACTCCACTTCGGCATTTCTTCCAGTATCCTGATCAGTAGCCTTAACCGTAATCACCGTGGAACCTACGGGAACACCTTCACGTACCGACGCGTCGTATTCCGGTCCCTCAAAACTGGGCGTATGATCATTTGCATCCAACACATTAACTTGAAGAGTCGTAGTGCCGGTGCGCGGAGGAAACGAATCGTCCACCGCCAACACCTATTTGGCAAATAATCCATGTTTGTAATTAAACGTTATTTTGATATTAGAACTTTTTTATTTTTCGTTTTAACTGCACGTTACAACGTTAATAAATTACTTTTAAACAGAAGAGAGACGTACGTCTTTTAAATAATGTTTTTTTTTTTATTAAATTTATTCTTATCGTTAGAGCAATGCTTATATTTCTAATTTTTTTTCTTTTTACTTTGGAATTCGATACGCACCCGAAAATAGTGCACGTCGACATTTTCCCTATCCAACCTGGCACGGGTTGTCACTCTTCCAGTTACTGGATCAAGAGCCAATAATGCTTGCGATCTCGCATCTACCAGCGAGCTCATGGAATATCGTACGGCGCCGTTCTCGGGGTCTCTAGCCTTCACTGAAGTCACGTACATTCCCGGCTCTTTTTCCTCTTCCACCGCGGCGAGATAGAGATGTTGCTCGAAATACGGCGATTGATTCTTGAGCTCTCGTCTCACCCTTCTACCAAGATCAGTGTCGTCCAGTTGATGGTGATGAAACACAATCTTCAACCGATGCTCGGCATCGGTCAGACGTGAGTCGCCGGTGCAGCGCAAATTCATGCTAACTGAGACCTTCCACAATGGATCGACCAGGCATTGCTCGGTAGCGGAAACCAGGTCCCCGGCGGCACCTTCCACGAGGAACCTGGGATCTGCCACTCCACCCCATCTCGTTTCGCATTCCTTCAATGTCGTTTGAGGTAGAAAATCACGGAGAGCTGCCACCAGTTGAGACGTCCGTAGGCATACCTCGGTAAACCTATCGATGTAATTAGATCTTTAGCTATGAATTTTAATCTTTGAAAAACTAAGCATTAAGTTATTCTTTTTTAAATTTACTTTATATAGTTAAATATAACAATCTAAGTTGGTTAAGCTAAGTTAATTTACACCTGGGTTAATGTACCATTCTGACCACACTGTTTTTCCAGAACAGTTTCTTTTTTTTTATGAGGAATCTATTTATATTTTTTATGTGCAGAATTTGTCTACATTTATACTTCGTCAAATAAATTAAATTCCGATATTACGAGTCAGTATCTACATTCGTTAATATTTTTATCTACATCTAACAGCCGATTTCCAACCTGTCGGTGCTGGGCATCGCGTAAGAGGCCAGAGTCTCCGCCATCCAGCCTCTGGTGGCCGCCAGGTCGTGATTCTCTCCACCGCATCCAGTAATCAGGATCCTCAATGGTAAACTATAGTAATCGATAGTGGGTCTACCAAGGCGGGAACTCGTCGAGTCGACGTAGAAGGTGAAAACGCGCGGATACTGGAGACCTTCACAGCTGAGCGTCTTTGCCAGAGTTACACGGCCTGTATGTGGATGGACTTTGAGGAGCTTCCGAGCAAACCAAGCTGTGCGCTCACTGGACGCCTCGTACTTGCGACGACCACCCAGCTGTGGCACTCCTGCCTCGAAGACGACAGTGCCAACGGGCGTGCTGGATGGTAGTACCGTCAGGTAGCCATCGCCCAGCGTCCAGATGGTCGTCAAGATCAACAGCATCCATCTCCACCTTGCCATGGCGACACGCACTTAATCCGCGCGATCTTGCGGTCTGTGCTGTTCTCTTCCTAAGTGTCTCATGATCGTCTATCTTCGCGAATCCTTCGCGAATTTAACACACCGATGCACCAGGATTCATCTAAAAAAAGATATATCGATCTTAAATTTTTTTAATTAATTTAATTTGTGGTATCACGTATTTCAATTTCAATCTAAGACTGTGTTTTAAAACCGACAAATAATGGATCTCATCAAGTTTACTTTAAAATAGGAATTGTAAAATTTACACAAAGATATTATCAGGCATCAAACCTGCTTTAAGCAAATAGGGGTTTTATTTATATTAAAATTTTTTTTTCAAGAAAAAGTTGTTTTGAAACCGTAAAGCAACTAGTTATTACACTTAAGATCGATGATACTTAAGATAATTATCGCTAAAATAAGTTTACTGAATCATTATATATACATTAAAATAATGCAGATAATTTTTTCATTCCATTAGAACGAATGGAAAGTCATTTATTTACCTCAAGTAATTACTTCGAGGTAACTTGCTACAAGCTCGGTAAAATATCGGAATCGGGAAAAGCAAAGGATGATAGTAATCACGATGGATGACATCGCGACTGAAAGTAATCTCTCGCGTGGACTTCTTCTTGTTCCTTGCGCAGCCTTTAACTCAACCTGGAAGACAGGTCGCACGAGTAAGGACGAGTCAGCGTGTATAAGGACGTGAAGACGAGTGTCTCGTTCTTACGCCTTATTTCGCTCTGGCGAGTTTAATTGCTTTCTCGCTACAGCGAAGTACCATAATTGCTGGTACAGACGGCGATTTTCGAGGCGCACACGTTTCCCCCTAGCGAGAAGCGACCTTCCTTCGCCAGCAAAACGTGGGAAACGAACTACTTCCGGTCGTGCCCCTGCAGTGAATTGCCCCAAAGATACCGGTCTTTCGTCGGCTGTAAAATTTGCCGACCTCTCACATTACACGCATGCTTACATTGCTTATCGCAATTTAACTCGATCGGCCGTTTCATCGCTTCTCGAGTTCCGGGCTGTTTTCTTTCACGCTCGACTTCAACGCGCGCACGCGTGCGATCCTGAGAAAGTCGATCGCGAGCAACGGAATCGCGCGCACTAAGACGATACTCGTCTCTTGTAAAGAAGAGCAGATTTCTCCAATTGTAGGAAAAATATATATGAGATACCGTTGCTGTAATTCTTCAGCCCGATTTAAGTCGGGCGGGATAATTAGTCATTTCACACGATAATCTTGTTACAACTCTTATTATATTGTAATTAGTACATTAACAGATAATAGTTTTATGTATGTGAGTAATATATGGACATTTATACAACAATGTTGGGGAAAGTTTAGTGTATGAATTTTTTTTTTCAAAACATGCGCCCTTGACATCTAACTTTGAGGAACAATGGGATCTAATATGCAGTAATGCGACGTCCGCTGTCATGCTCGAAAGAACGGAAGACTACGATCTTTATCTTGAGTTCATCGTGATTCTCATTGCACAGCTGTCTGCTTATGCAGCACATACTCTATCTCTCATACAATTTAAAATTTAACGTTCTCTTTATATCAAATGATAATAGAATTTTCAAGTCAAAATATTTCAAAGAAGGACAGATAATTATCTATCTCTCTTTGATAAAGAGTTACTTTCTTTAATTATATCTCTCACAATAATTCTAGGTTGTCTGGAGAAAAGAATTATCTTCACATCGCGGTGATTTTTCTTTCATTTCGTAAACGAGAATAATTTCATAAAATCATAATAATTAAGACATTGTGTAAATATAATTACTAATATAATTACTAACTTTCTATTGCAAATGTTTATACACACAAAAATTAAAGAATAATAATTAAATAATTAAATTATTTTAATAAAATCTCGAAAAAGAAAGAAAAGGAATAATAAATTGCATAACGCATAATGTGGGAGGAACTTTCTGAATTGTTATTTAAAATATATCATGCGATACAGAATCGATAAATAAAAACATTTCTCGTCCATATTTGCATTACCTGTTTTGATAAATGTTGCTGTTGAAAACTGGATCTTATTTAAACATCGAATACATCTTAAGCCGCATAATGCGATATGCTTGATATCAACGCGAGTGCAAAGCTATGCGAGGATGAGTCCGGATATAAATACCGACCAACCATTTTACTCGCTTCGTTGTACCTGTCGTACATAGCTGGGAATTTAATTTAACACCTCAGGAGAGTTAACGAGCCGTTGGATTTCAGAGCGTATATTTTTAAAGAAATAACTGTAAAATCCTGGACGAGCGAGAGCACAAATTAATGGAAATAAAAAAACGAAAAATGGAAGAATCGATATGAAAAAATCAACCGTAACAGAATCGAATAAGTGGATGAATATAATACTGGTAAATTTTTTATAATACTATCGGACTTCTCAAAATGTCTTAAATCGTGTTTGAAAATTCCTAAATGAAGAGAGAAGAGATTGACGTTCACAATACAATAAACATAGACAGTTGATTTATGTACTCGAGCATCACAAGACTCGATCGCTGAGTCTCTTGATCAACGATTCCTGTAACAAGTACCCGCAAACCGCATCTCGAACTGATTTGCTGCTGCCAGTATCGATGTTAACGCGACGACTTTTTAAGCGAGCCAAGAAGGGAAAATAACGATTCGTCGGTTAATCGATTGTGTACACAGAACTCAGTTTTTTAGTTTATAGACTCAAAGAAGTTGAGAAAATATACATTTCAAAGTATAAAATTAAATAAGTTAAATACAAAATATGAAATAAGGAAATTTTCTGTTTTAAACATCATTTTTCTACGAGAGAAAAAAGAAACTTTTGTTGGGAAAAATGTAGTAAACTTTGGCAAAGATATGTACATATTGTAGTTACAACATTACAAAATTTATTTGTTCCAATTAATTAATTAATTTGCTTTAATTAAGTATTATTAATTAATACTTTATCTGATCGATACTAATAACGGGTCTTAAAGAAAAAAGCATTAATTTGAAGAGTTTATTTGTAAAACATGTATTTATATACGAATTCTATATTTTTTCAAATATAAATTAATGATAAAAAAATTACTTCTGTAATTACAGAAAACTTTCTAGAATTCTCTAGATATGTGGATTTCTAAAAAGTATGATTTTAAGATAATTCAGAAAAAAGCGTTCGCTCTTCATCATCAATCTAATCTGATTAATCTGATTTCAACATTGAATCGTTAAGTTTTTCCACTGAATGCTATTGCACCCTAAATGAGCGTAAAAACAAATATTCAAGTGGTGAAATGCCTATGTGCAGGCATCTCGCGTGCAACTCATCGAGTAGATTAAGCCGAGAAACTTTAGTCCGTAATGTGCAATGCAATGCATCATGCAATCGCGTGAAGATGCGACGCTCGCGGTGCATAGGCGCATCCTCCCGTTTCGTGCAGCTGCGAGATTATTCCGTTCGTCGGTCCTTGCGAGAAATTACGGCAACTAGAGTTGATCATGCCGAGAACGAACGCGATAGTCCGATACTTTACTTCGGTATAAGTCCAGCCGATCCGGACCGATCGTCCTCTTCGTCGCTCGGGGGGATCTAGACGATCCGGTTCTCGCCAATCCACGGTCAGCGTACCGGCATGGACCCAATCGAGCCTCCAGGCCTCCGCGTCGCGAAGGTTAGAAACTTATTTGCAGGAAACAAAATGAAGAAAGGGCAAAGAGAAAAAGACCGCTATGTCGAATACTATATCGTTGAGTAATCCGAGCGTGACACGTTTTCCTCATGGAAAGCAACAGATTTGTTTAATTTTCACTTCTTTGAGCTAGAATGTTTATTGTTAAAATCAGCGAATCCAAAAATTATCAACTATATATTTTATTTTTTTTTTTTGGTATACGAGAAAACACGCTAAATTGTTCTAATAAGTAATGTTTGTACACTGAGAAAAAAATATAGTCAATTTTAATAAATATTTAGTTCAATATACTGCCAACTAAACATTTACTTACAGTAAATAAATATTGTACAGTAAAAAAAATGATTGTTAAATCAAATTAACATTTCTTGTATCAAATAAATATATCTTTATATTTAATAAATATTTAGTTGACAGTATTCAACTAAATATTTATTAAAATTGACTATATTTTTTTTCAGTGTAAAATGAGAACAAAGGGATCATTTTCATCGAAGACATTTCTGAAGACATTCTCCAAAAGTTGTAAATATAATACATACCCACGCGCAAAAGATATATTTTCTGTTAAATTTTCCTCTTGTTAAGCCATCACGAAGGACGTGCTATCTTTAGCTCTGCTATCTTATTATCTTTAATAAAAATAATGTTAACACTAAAATTTAATATTAGTTAAAGATTCATATGGTTAGGTTTTTTTTTTAAATAATTGTTAGTAACATCAAAAGAAGAAACCGTTAAAGCCTTAATCTATAAACTATCTCATATATTAAATGCTGTTATCTGCGATGCACCATTCCTATTGAGATATCTTAAATGGGGACATTAATTTTTCCGCTTGACCAAGCAGAATTTTCAAAGCTCTTAGACGCGTGGTTATCTTTTGATAAATATTCTTGAATATATCTTCTTGAAAAATATTTCAGTCAAAGGCTATTCGGCGATGTTAACCGTTATGTGAGATACTGAGCTTACAGTTTTCAAACGACTGATCTTTTACAACACCGTCTATTTTTTGTCAGATATAAAAGTCTAAGGGCCATCGGCTATCACACACAAAATAACACAAGCTGCATCATGGTGGAAGAAGACAGGTGAGTCAACTCGTATAAGGCATCTTCCACCGTGAGCTGCATAATCATAGCGTAAAGTTATGCAGCTTAAGCTTATAGCTTATGCTATGATTATACAGTCATTTTGTGCGTGATGCTCATAATAGTGATAATTATTGATATGAAAAATCTCGAAATTTTTTCGTATGATACGTTATTCCAATGACGAATGAGAATCTTTATAATCGTAATTAATTAAACCAAAATCGTTTTAATAAAAATATTATTTTTTTTAATTTAATCGGAGTATAGATTACTTCCGCCAAAAAGATATTTTCTTCAAAACATTCTCCAAAGGTTGTAGATA